GTCATTTTTTGTACTACAGGAAAGCTTGCATGTCCTAACTTCCTGTGTAAGATGTGAGCACACTCATCATGAATTGGTTTACCTATTTTTGGTTTCTTTTCTTTGTATGTATTTTTGTGATCATGAGTTATTCTACACTCATCATTGTTCACTGTTACTGACATTTTCATCATCTGCTTCAATACAATCTTCCATATTTGAATCAATGTTATGTAAACATCTTTCTTTAGTTATCAGATAAGGTAGACCTCCTTTTATCATTACAGTACCTACATTTGTTTTGTTCTTTTCTATAGTTGCCTTCCCCTTTGAGAAAACTATATTGATATCAGATTCTCTGCTTAATTTTATGGCACTTAGTATGTTGTGAGGTATTTCTGGGATTAATAATACCCCCTCTATTTTCCCTAGACCAGGCAAGGTCACATTTCCTTTGCCTAGTACTTGAACCTTTTCTTGATTAGCTACCTTTATCACAAACTTATCTTCTATAAATGAAGATAATATACTTTTGTTGCTGGTGGTGTGGTTTGTTGCACCAGAATCAATAAGCCAATTGTTATTCTCATCCTGCTGTGTTCTGGTGCTGTCTTGTTTATTTAGCCCATTCAGTGACCCAGATTTCCTCTCTTTTGAATTTTCTCTACCCCCTCTACCTTCTTTGTAATTTGGTGGACTTCTATATTTGTGTCTATCTGTGGAAGATTGTCTGTAATTATATTTGCTCCTATATTCTGGTCTATGTCTCTCTCTTGAGACTTTGGGGCAGTCTCTTCTACTATGTTCCTGGATCCACAATTGTAGCATCTAAAGGCCTCATTATGTTTATCTTGAAAGACTACTTTCCTAAAAGGTTTGTGGTCTGTTTGGTTACTGGATCGATTTTTTCTTGAATTGTCTTCTGCTATCAATTTGTTAGATAGACTTTCTATGGATAAATATCCCAAATTAATGGTATCTAAGTGTGACATAAAGCTATCCCATGATGGATCAAGTGAATTGATAATAACACTTTTCATTGTTTGATCTGAAATCACTTCCCCCCTCAATTGTAGCTCAGCTCTTATTTTGTTTAGATTTATCAAATGCTCACTTATAGAAACCCCTGGTTTTACTCTAGAGGAAAAGAAATCCTTAGACATTCTTGTGGTTGTAGCTACGCTATCGCTGTGAAATAGATTAAACATGCATTGAATTATTTCTGATACAGTTAGGTTTGGTTTGATGCTATGATACATTGCAGGAGACACGCTAGATATTATTATGAAAAATGCTCTATGATGTAAACAATCTATTTTTAAAGTCCAAGGTCTTCTTGGAGGGCTAGTTATAAAGAATAGTAAATTTTCTTTCATGAAAATAACCTGAAGCTGTTGATACCACTCTTGTAAATTAATGCCATCAATTCTAAGTTTTGGGAAGTCACTGGGTAAGTTACCTACATTATTCTGTCCATTACTTACAACCTGGGGCAGTCCGTGATCTCTCAAGTGCAGGAAATTACAGAACGGCATTGGGATGCTTGCAATGAGTCTGCGCGGTTCTCTGGCCAGTTCAAGTCCTTCTGGGTCGTCTACGTAGTTTCGCACATGCGCGTTGCTCATTTCTTCTTTGGTGGCGTCGTGGAAGGTTCTCTCCCTTTCAGCTCTCTCGATCCGCTCCTCCTCAGATGAGTCGGTCTCTGGCTCGGTTTTTGGGGTTCTGGTGGTGGCGACGGTTCTTTTCTTCTTTTTGTGTGCGTTGGTATTCGATTTTGTCTGTGGTGTAGGGCGAAATCGGCATGGCTCTCTGGGCTCGGGCGTCGTCGCTTTCGAAGTCAGGATGGGAGCGTGCAGGTCTTGAGTCGCCGGTTTGATTTCTTGCTTCTTCGTAGATGTCTTGGTAATTTTCAGTCTTGGCCCAAAAGCAGCAAAAAGCGTTTTCATTGCTGATTTTACTTGAGATTTTGTTAAATCGTCTTCACTTTCTGATTTTGGATCATCTGAAGAGTTTGAGACTTCTTTCTCACTTTCTTCGTCTGATAGTGTTTTTCGCGCCAGAAATTTTGAACTGAGCGTTTTGATTGGCTCTGCTCCATTCTCTTTTGAAGTTCGTTGAAACCAAGATGGCTGCCATTCAAAATTTCGCGCGGGATCACATCTTTTCTTTTTAACAACTATTTTCTCAGTAGTCATCTCACTTACGGTTTTTTGATCTTTGGGTTTTTCTTTAATGACGTTTTTCTCTCTCGCTGCTCCGCTGTTCTTCAGCATCTCCTGGAGGTCCGCGATGAGACTTTCATCATTCTTTTGGCTTTTTAGTATCTTTAATATCTCTGACCTGAGTTCGTTATTTTCTATTTCGATTTCTTTCTGGTCATTATTTTCACTCATTAGTTCTTCTTCTTCAGTGGTGTATTCTTCGGGTTCTCTCGAAATCGCATTGGTGGATTCGTTGATCATCTCTTGATCAGTTTCTATTTCTTTGCTGTAGGCCCTGGTGTTGGGCCTATCTTTCTTGGACATTTTTAATTACTTATTGAGTCAATTAACCATCCTCTGCTACCAGCTTGTTGCAATATTTTCAGGATCAGACTCAATAAAGATAATAGGAGTTAGAGCTTTAAATATATTTCTTTTTAATTATGATAGGCATTCTATATTCACTGAATATTCAAGGTAGAAGCGACGAGAATGGTGAGGGTGGCTCCTTATATATACAAGGGGTGGAGCTAGGAATGGGAGTGGTAAGTTATGAATACATTAAAGTCCAAAGAATAAGTTAACCTCTGATGTTCCATTATATACATTATTTACACATTGGAGAATAAGGCATTTACATCTGACATTTTGACTCGTATAAGCATAACAGGAAAATCAATATCATTAAAATCATTGCACTGGAGGTAGAAATATGGAGAGGTTGCAGGGAAAGCAGGCAGGAGGAAGGAGAGAAGAATGTTAGATTGTATGAAGAAACAGAGTTTCAGGTTAACCCAAACCCTAGTTTAATTTTCATTGACAATGAAAATGAAAATGATTTTTTCTGATTTACTTTACAGTTATAGACATCCAACCCAAAAGCTATGACGTTCTCTATCATTAGAGAACCTCAAAGAATTTATCCTTAACTTTTCAAATCGAACTCCAATGAAACTTAACCCTAACCCTAACCCTAGCCCTAGCCCTAAATTAGTATAATTTTGCTTGGAAATGGGATTTCCCCATGTATTTTATTGTAGTCCACAAAGAAGTCCAGATGAAAAGCAGTCACAGTCATTTTCCTTAGAGAACCTCTAAGGAATTCAAATGGCATATTAATTCTCAAATTTGTACCAAACGTGCTTTCTCAGTAAATTAAGAAAACAACATCCATAATCCCTTTTGCTGTGTTGGACTGATGATGATTGCAATTGAAGCCCAAAACAGTTATCCCAAAACAGATGGCCAGTACTATGGGCATGATGTAAAGTATTTTTATCATTTCATTTCCAAATCTTTAATATTAACAGCATACTGGGAATTTAAGTGAATTCCCAGCACTTTATTTCAGGTTAAAAATATCTGGAAACAAGAGAAGCAATTATTATGTTTAATCTGCCAAAATTAAAATTGTTATAGTTAGTTCCTAATATCCCTCATGATGAGGCTATCCTTGCCTAATGTAATCCTTGATCCTAGACCAGAGGTGTCAAACTCAAGGCTCGTGGGGCCGGCCTGGAAATATCAAAGGACTGGCCCGCAGTGCCTCAGCTGGCTAAAACGGGCCACATGCGGCTGCCCCGCAGCCCCTTTTAGGCCTCCATTGCCTCCTGCAGCACTCTGCCGGCCGAAAACAGGCAGTTTTCGGCCCATTTTCAGGCAGCAGAGTGCTGCAGGAGGCCATAGAGGACAAAAATGAGGTGCGGGAGGCCACACGTGCCTCCCATGCCCCATTTTGGCTGGTAAAGTGCTGCAGGAGGCTGTTCAGGCCATAAATGGGTAGAGCAGCCCCCCACACCCCGTTTTGGCCAGCAGGGTGCCATAGGAGGCACCCCCTTCCCACTGCTGGCCTGCAGAGGAGAACTACAATGCTGATCTGGCCCTCGAAGAAATCCAGTTTGACACCCCTGTCCTAGACTGTTAGCAAAATGAAAAATCTTGACTCTACCCATATTTTACAATTTTTAAATATCTGTTCTGACCCAGCTCCCCAAGCATGACAAACCCTTTGTAATTAATCAATGATTCCTTTATTAGGAGCACCAGTAGCCCCGGCAAAAAGTTTCTCTCACACAGCAGGCTAACAAGTCCATCCAGCAGAGAGATGAATAATTGTCTGCTACATTTATTCATCTCCGCCCCCTGCTTTTTATCCCCAGAGCTAGGGTGGGGCTTCGCTAGCAGCAGTAGCTCTTCCATCCCAAGGATCGGCCCACAGATTTCCACTGGTCTCCTCTCCTCTGCCTTCTGCACATCCGTGCATCAGACACTGGACCCAGCTGTTCCTCCTCTTCCTCATCAGCCACTTCCAGACTGAGGGCTGTTGACTCTCCATCTGACAGCTCCATTCCCTCTTCCCCTTCGGATGGCCTAGGCTCTGCTTCTGTCTCTTTCTCCAACAGCTCCATTCCATCTTCCCCTTCAGAGCTCTCAGGTTGCCTTGATGCTGATCCTGACTCACACACCTCCTCCTCCTCCTCAGATTTGGCTGATGGAGGGGCCAGCAGCTGACAGGCCACAATGATATCTACGTGCTTTTGCTTATGGCTCTTCAAATTTTGCAGAACTACATCTTTCATCTTCCCTCAGTTTCCCAGGATGACTAGGAACTGCAGAGAGTTACAGGTACATCAGCTGAAGTGCCATAAAGTTCTCCATCTCAATCAAAATGCAAAATGAATCAGTTACCATAAACACAAGAGAATGCACAGTCTCTATAGTACACAATAAATACCAAAACATGGTTCATAATAGTTCTGTGGCATTTACATCAGTGATATAACATTATATCCAGGGTTTTATAAAAAAAGAAAATCTTACACTCCATTCTAGTGCCATTCTCGGCTCCTTCACAGGTCCATTACTGATGCCCAGGTTGAGGTTTTGAACAGGAGTCAGATGTTGAAGGCCAGACCTGGAGATTGCTTTCCTGTAAGAGAGGGATAACAAATAGAAATTTAAAATGATTGGATTTGCCATCCTATTTCATCCCCCACCCCCCAGTGGTGGGTTGCTACCAGTTCACCCCGGCTCAGGCGAACTGGTAGTGGCAGTGGCAGGAGACTCTGCCCACCTGCCCGGACACTTCTGCGCATGTGCAGAAGCATCGCGCGCACGAGCATGCCCACAAGCAAACCGGTAGCGACGGGTTTGGAAACCCACTACTGATCCCCCCCCCTAATCTGCATGTAAAAAGCATTTTTAAAAAGGAACCATTTATTAATCATGTACCACTTCATCAGCAACAGGGATTGAGTCCCTTTCATGAAATTACTTGGACGTACAATGTTCTTAATTAAAGTTGCTCTCTCTATAAATTCAGTTGGAAGAAATATCTACTGGGCTGATCAGAAATTTGTTCTGAGCCAGCAATAACATAACATCCTCCTTTAGCCAGGAATTGAAGGCAGTTGTGAGTACAACGAAGCATTAGTTTCATCCAATTTCAATTTAAACTAAATGCACTAAATTTCATTAGGGTTTTCTAGATCTGTGTGCTATATCCCTATTAGTCTCGGCTGGTTTTCCATTATCAGCTGTTTTTTTCTAACTGTTCAATGTTGCTGTTAAATTTGATTTATGATGATTTCATATTTCACTTTCACTGAGCTGTATTAACTGGAAACTAAGCAATCTAAATTCACACAAAAACAGTATTATTTTGTACAATTGGTCAGCTTGCAGTGCAATCCATAATGTCATGATGCACATCAGTGCAAAAAACAATATGAATTTTGTGATTTGTGTTGGTCACATCACTATACTTTAAATCTCCATGGCAGTAATTACATTTCTGCAGCAATAAAATTGCTTAAAGGGAAGATTCTAGGCTTGTCATTTTCCTTACTTCAGAAGCTGTTCAGTCTAAATGTTTGGAAGCCCAGCTCCATGTCCTTTTATTCAACTCCAAATGTCCTTGTTCAACTTCAGCTTGGCTGCATTTTGGGGGGGGGGGGCTACCTGAGAATTTGCCATCTTGGATTTTGGCTGAAGCAAATAGTTTAGGGCGCATCTCTGGTTCACTTCACCCTACTGAATAGGTTCTCCTCACCACTGAGGAGGCAAATTGATTCTATCTAGAATATTATGGTATCTCTCACTCCAGGCAATATTGTCTCCTAGCCCAGATCAAGCCTTAATCAAATTTAAACAGAGGTTTTAGATTTATAAAATGACAGGGCCAAAAACCAATTTTTATTGTGGTGCAATTGCAAGTTCTCCCTAGACAATTCCTAGCTACTTCTATAATATCCTGAATATATCATACAGAAGGGTTTTCACCTTGGCTTATATTATATAGAGAAATTTCTATTCAGGTACAGAGGTACAGTCAATAATCTAATATTATTGTATTGCTCATTGTCCCAATGATGGCATCTGACATTCATAAGACTGATTAGCAGAATGTTTAGTTGTCTTTCTGATCAAGAAACTACAATTATCCTATCATAAACTTCGACAATCCCTACAAAGATTGCTAAATTTCTTGAAATAGCTATGGCTTGCAGCAGCTGACTGACATTCTCTTTTCACTATTGTTTCATGGAGGACAGTTGTCTTGTATTTTAATTTTTATATATTTGTCTTTTATTGGTGTTACTGTATTTTAAATTCTGCATTTGTGTTGTATTGGTCTGGGACAAAAAAATAAAATATAGTAAAATAAATATACATCACATTTATATCTATTTCCACATACACATATCCTTCTTATTTTTGCCTACTTGTTCTAGTAGTTCATTTTGAACACATACATAAGCTTGCAAAATTCATCATTTTTGTGATTCAAAGGGAATAAATGTAGTTTCTTGCCAAGAACTCACTTAATTAATTAATTAATTAATTTGTATAAGGTAACAGATATAAGATAACAGATATAAGTATAAACATGATTATGAATACAGGAAATGGATACAAATAAATGGGGACAGTAGGATGGGGACGGTAGGCGCGTTGGTGCGCTTATGCATGCCCCTTACAGACCTCTTAGGATATTAGTAGTAGTAGTAGTAGTAGTAGTAGTAGTAGTAGTAGTAGTATAGTTAATCTTTGGTGAGATTCACAGCCTTTGAGGCTGGTTAATAGCTTAGCAGCTCGAGTCCTAACCAAGGACCTAGGAACTGTTAAGGTATTGTTGGAGGATGTAAGCTGTTCCGAGTAAGGTGGTTTTTTGTAGAGTCAAAATGTAGATTTAGAATTTAGAATTTCTAAATAGTGGGGTAGCCCTTTGGGTATTGCTCCAAGGGCTCCAATTACAATCGGGGCAACACACGATTTCTTTTTCCACAGTCGCTCAACTTTAATTTGCAAGTCCCAATACTTTGTGATTTTTTTCTTGCTGCTTATCTTCAATCCGTGCATCACCAGGTATTGCAATGTCAATGAACCATACTTTTTTCTTTTCAACTATTGTTATGTCAGGTGTGTTGTGGACCAAGTGCCTGTCAGTCTGAATCCTGAAGTCCCACAAGATCTTGAGTTTCTCATTCTCTAAAACTTTCTCAACCTGATGTTCCCAGTGGTTTTTGCCGTACTCAAATCCTATTATTATTATTATTATTATTATTATTATTATTATTATTATTATTATTATTATTATTATTTTAATAATATTAATATTATTAGGAAATCATAATATAAAGTCCCTTCCAACCTAGCTAGAATAGACTGTTAAACAATCCTTTCGGCAGTTATTTTAGTCTCTCACTCTCTAATCTCTTCTGTCGAAACTCCACGTATGCTTTTTATAGTGTCAAGGCTATACCTATTCCTGTACTCTTCCCGTTCTATTTATATATTGCATGGATGTACAGCTCTTCCACCTCTTTCTTCCCTTTTTCTCCAGATCTGCCAGTTTATGTAGTTATGAGACTTGTAATCAGCTTCCCCAGCCTAATTATCAAGTACTAAAAACATGACATAAATACCCATTACTGAAATAAGTCTAACTCTGCTTGGCAGATATTTTGCTGGGTAATAGCAATGTGCTTTTCTTGCTGTAACATATTGTTGAGAAATCATTTTGACTGAACACGACTAAACAAATAGCTTCAAAATGATCTATTTTAAAATGCCTCTGAGATTGCGTTCATGCCAATACGGGGCTGTCATCACAAGAGAAACATCAAGAGTGTTCCTGGAGCTCACATGCTGTCGAGTCCAAACCCAAAGACAACACAGTGAATTCCAATTCTTAATTTGCTTACACCTAATAGACAGAATCTTGCCAGACTAAAGCTGTAACCTTCTAACTTAATAGAGATTACCTGGGAGATTCTAGGGTGTGATTACTCTGAATCTTTTCCTCGCTCTGCCATCCAGTTCAGGACTGAGCAGGATCTTATTTTGGACTCCCTCTGGAATGTACAGCCTCTGTCCTGGGAAACTTTGGTGCTCCTACCAAGATTGCCTCCACTCTTTCTTCACATGCACATCCATTACACGTGCATTCTTCATATAACAACATTTGCAAAGACAGCAAACATGAAAAGGTATTCCTTCATTAGAACTGCTTTGTACTAGGTTCAAATGACAAAAGTAAGAGCTTCCAAGTTCTTCCCTGATGCTGACCAAAAATAAATTGTCACCAGGAGTAGTGCACCCCCAGGAGTGCTCCCACTCACCATTATTTTCAGAATCCCTGCTGCCCTGTTAATATCCAATATCTGCCTTCCTGTGATTCAAGTGCCCTCAATATGGCATGCACTAACTTTGAGACAATGTTGTTTGGAATTATATTCGACTGCAGAATAGCAATTTGGGAAAGCTGATATGACATACATCTCAGCAAGTTGCAGCCTTGGATGTCATGTCTAGGCACTAAAACAAAACATAGTCAGGTCTTGCCAATGAGACACAGAGAATTGGGGATCGGTAAGGGAGGGATTGGGGGGCAAAGGTCAGTACTGACCGTCTGTCAGGTTTCGATGCTATCTCAAAATAAAGGAATTTCCAAACTGCCGATCTTTAAGGAAATTTTCTCTTTATTGAGCATAGTGATTTGTCCCTGGCTCTTGCGCGGTCAGTACTGACCTTTGCCCCCCAATCCCTCCCTTTCTGATCCCCAATTCTCTGCGTCTCATTGGCTATCTTCCAAGCCACTTTCTTCATCCCTCCTCCATCAGATCACAGGAATGTTCCCCCCTCCCATCTCCGAGGAGACAGAATCTTCAAAGGGATTAAGTAGGCAAAAGTTCAAGCTTCTCCTCTCCTTATATATGTCAGTGCTGGGACGCTGACACTTGGTTAGTTATCAAATGAGAGACTGGGAGAGTATGCCATGGCTGTAGGTTAGCTTAGAATGTTGAAATGATATCTTAGAACCGGGATGGCGAACCTATGGCCACAGCTGGCACGTGGAGCCCTCTCGGCAGGCACACAAGCCATTGCCTAGCTCAGCTCCACCTCACATGCGCATATGCCTCCTGCCAGCCACCTGATTTTTGGGTCTCTGCGGCACATGCATGGGGGCAGGGTGCATGCGGGAGATGTGCGTAATTGCATGGGGTTGCATGTGCATGTGGGGGAGCGGGAGGTCACACATGCATGCGTGGGGGTGGAGGGAGGGGGTGTTGCACCCCCCCGTGGCCCATTTTTGGTCCCAGAAGGCTGCAGGGAAGGCTACTAGGCCCAAATTGGGGCACAGGGAGCTGCAGAGAGGCATGCACAGGGGGTGGGGGTAGCGCAAGAGTTAGTGGGTGCATGCGAGGGGGCGAGGGGGCGGGGGAGAGTGGGGGTCATGCGCACATGCACAGGGGTGGGGCATAGGGGGGTGTCGCACATGCATTACATTATGGGTGCCAGCCCAAGACGACAAAAAGATTAGCCATCACTGTCTTAGAAGAAAGAGGTAGAGAGCCACTTCTATGTTGTTGTCCAGAAAATAGCATGAAATATCCATGAATCTATCAGGAGTTAAACTTGCTACTT